GCCTGGGGTGCTCCGAGGCCCCAGGGCTGCAGGGACCAGGGCGAGGTCTGGGGTAGGTTTGGGGAGAGCTCAGTGTTGGCCAGTCAGCCCCATGGCTCTCTGTCTTGAAAACCTGCCCTCTTAAGGGAGCCTTCTGTGCTAGATGCTTCCACTCCCCAGGTGGGGAGGCGGGAGCCATGCCACAGCCGCCTTGCTTCTCCAGGTGCCACCAGGGAGCAGTGTTAAAAGGCCAGGTGCTCCTGGTGTTGTTCACCAAGACCTGGAAGAGATGCAGCCGGACTCAAGGCTCTCAGGAACAAATTGGTGGACCCAGAGGCTTTATTTCCTCCTGCCCCTAACAGCATCCTTCAAATGCCCAGGGAGAGCAAAAAGAAGCCGCAGGCAAGTCCCTGCATGGAGTGTACAGGGCTGTGGTAGGTGCTACCGCCGGTGCGGACGGGAGGCCCCAGCTCCTTAAGCCGCCCGCAAGCAGCTCCGGTTCCCGGGAGAGCCACCCACTCCACTGTGGTGGAGTGAAGCCAAATGCGCACCTGGAATCTTCATTTCCTCTCTCTGATTCCAGCCTCCCCAGCACCAGGCTCACCGCCCTAGCCTTTCCTTCAAGCAAAAGTATTCCCCGTCAGGAATATTCAAGCATTTCCACCAGGAAATAGCAATATTTTTCAAAGCAGTATAAAATATTTGCTAAAATCATTTCACAGAAAATAAGTAAAAGATCAGGTGATACAGGACTGGCTCGACCATTTCTTTTTCTTTCTTTCGTTCTTTTTTTTTTTTTGTGGTCATCTGGTTACAGAAAGAGAACTGTGCTTCTTACATAGCACACAAGTAAAAGGTGTTACGTGGTCTTTGAAAGAAAATTGATTCCATATGAAGCCCACCCAGATGGCATCACTTCTTCAAATGGCAGTTAGGGAGGTCCTTGCCTGCCTGGCTTCTTTTATGTGACATTTTACAACCCCCCCCCCAATTATTAGTATGAGAATGAGTCTTACCAAATTATAAAAGATTCAAATATCTTGTTCTACTGGGTAACTTTATTCTATTTGGTGGTTCTCACATTATCCGTGTTTCGCAGTTTAGAGAAATTAGCATGAAGTTCTCCTAGATGGGATCTTTGCTATACGACATCTTTTTGAATAAGCCAGGGCAAGACTTTTTCCAATGGGTTACGTTTTTACCCAGAATCCGCAAAACAATCACAATTTATGATATAATACATTTCTATTAAATGTTTCCAGTCATAATGCCCAACTTAAAATCAGGACCATCTTATTCAAGACAACCAATGGTGTTTTTAAATTTATTAATGAACTTAGAAGCCTAGGGAGACAACAGGGAGACTAGGAAAATAATATTTGGCGTAGGAAATCTGGCTCAGTTTAGATCAGAAGAGTCACTATTTATATTCCTCTATCTACACGCGTAAGGAGAAGAATCATAAATATGAATTACTTTCCTCTCGGCCTCCAGCCAAACAACCTAATTAGCCTGGGATTCCAGTAATTCACGTTTGTGTTGCAACTCCCTTCAACAACTTTATCTTTGCGGATCATGCTGGACTCAAGTGTTTTTGCAGAGAGCTAACTTTCGTGAGCTGCGATCCACATATTCGATGCTGTGCTTCGAGAGCCTCTTTGAGCCAGTCCTGCAGCCAGAACCTCTGCAGATGCTGCTGTCCGGCAGGAAGTTCTCCACTTCCTCTGCGAGATGCAGTCCTGGCCGCTGGTACGAGGCTCCTTCACCAGCCCTTTGTCTGGAATCTTCTTCGGCTTTTGTGACTTGCAATTCTCCTCCTGTGTCCACAACCCTTCTGCCTTCAAGCATCCTTACCTCTCTCCGACCTCTTTAACGTCACCCTTCCCTGGAGTTCACGCCTTCATTGCTTTCTCACTTTGTACGTCATTCCCGACAAATTGACAGGCTTCCTCCAAGGTCCTGACACCTGTGACTTCCCAATCTACACGGTAGAGCATCCCAAATCCCCAAATCCAAAATCCAAAATGCTCCAAAATCCAAAACTTTTTGAGCACCTACATGATATTCAAAGGAAATGCTCATTGGAGCACTTCAGATTTTGTTTTTCTTTATTTTTAATTTTTTTTAAAAGTTAAATTTTATTTCTGAATATTAAGGTGGTACACATGTTTTTGTTACATAGATAGCTTTTGTAATGCTTGAGCCAGGGCTATAAGTGTGCCCATCACCCAAATAGTGTTCACTGTACCTGTTAGGTAGGTTTTTACCCCTCCCCTCCCTCACTCCCTGCTTGATTTCCAATAACTTTTACTTCCCTCTGTGCTCATGTGTGCCCATGAGTTACTTCCAATTTATTAGAGAGTATATGTGTTGTTTGTTTTTGCATTCTTGAGATACTTCACTTAGGATAATGGTCTCTAGTTTCATCCAAATTGCTGCAAAAGGCATTAATTCATCCTTTTTATGGCTGAGTAATTCTCCATTATATACACATTTTGTTAATTCACTCATGAATTGATAGGCACTTGGGTTGATTCCACGTCTTTCCAATCGTGAATTGTTCTGATATAAACATTCGAGTGCAGGTGTCTTTTTCATAAAAATGACTACTTTTCCTTTGGGCAGATATCCAGTAATGGGATTATTGGATCAAATGATAAGTCTACTTTCAGTTCTTTGAGAAATCTTCATTCTGTTTTCCATAGAGGTTGTTCTAATTTGCAGTCCTACCAATAGTCATAAGTGTTCCTTTCTCTGTGCATCCACACCAGCCTCTATTGTTCTTGGACTTTTTAATAACAGCCATTCTAACAGGGATAAGGTGATATCTCATTTTGGGATTTGGGATGCTCAATCAGTAAGTATAACGCAAATATTCCAAAATCTGAAAATATCTGAAATCTGAAACACTTCTGGTTCCAAGCATTTCATATATGGGATACTCAACCTGTGTCTCCATCCCGAGGTATCTTATTACTAAGGGCGGGGCATCTTCTCTGGGTACTCCACGCTTGTGGTCCAGCATGGAACCGCTGTCTTCCCAGCCCAATCCTGGGACCAGTGCTGTATCTCCTTTGGAATCCCCCAGGATCCATCTAGATTCAGTGTCAGAAACCTAGGAGCTGCTGTTGACTCCATAACATTCTTCTTCTCATCCTACTTGAATTGGTCCCCTGGCCCATCAGTTCTCCTCCTAATCACTCCTGGAGTCTACACGTCCTTCTCTCCTTTCTTTACTTCTCCTCCACCCTCAGTTCTGGCAGCATCCAAGAAGCATTGGCGTATAAACAATGTTTTATTTATCTTTGTGTCCCAAGTGCTGTACACATAGTAGGTCCTCAATAGATGTTTTTATCACTGCACTGAAACCTAATACTTAAACACAGCTTTCCTAAAATGGCAAATTAGCAGGAGTGTATCCTCAATGTCAGATTCAATAAACCTGGTTCATTCTGCTTCCACAAAACTCCTTTCTACTTCATGAAGATATTAAATGCTTGAGGTAGCAACGTTATCCTCTGTGGCTAGGTAGATTTCTGTTGCAACACACCTCTATGGTTATAATTTCCATTTGCCCATTTTACAGAAATATTGGAAAAGAAAAATGTTCCCACAAATTGATCTTCCTCTCACCACTACCATTTTCTTTCTTGTGTATTTCTCATTAATCTGTCAAATGCTTATTTATTTTCATAGTTGTAATCATAGTAAAAAATTCATCCAAATTTATTTTTTAAAATATAGCTACTGTATTATTCCACATAGCTAAATATCTAATAAAATTCATTCACACAGAACGAGCCATAATTAACCGAATGTTTCATTTTTGAAAGCAATACGTTTTTCATTCCTCATATATCATTCTCCATTGCATCATTCCTTAGTTGTTTTTAATGGGTTTGGGGCTCTTAGAAAACCTTTTAGGTTAATAACTGTCCAAATGCAGGCAGCAAGAATATTTTCAAATTCTTCTCCCCCTGCACCCTGAAGTGGCCGGGAGGTCTTAGGGTTTCGCCTGGGCCCATGGGCCGCCACGAGTATGAGTGTGCCACAGAGTAGAGAGGTGGCTGTCTGAGGTCCCGGCCACTGCTCACTCCAAGGGCCCCGCTGGGTCTCTTGAATGGCCCGCCAGCTTCTCTCCTGCTAAGTGCGCTTGGTGAGGAGTGCTCGAGAGGCCGGGAAGGGGCCATGCAGAGGGACAAGGAGGTCAGGAGCCAGCTGTGAGGTGACAGAGCCACACGGGAGCTGTGAGTGGGCTCAGGCGTGCACTTGTCTGAGAGTGTGTGTGTTCCTGAGTGTGTGCTTGTGAGGACCGCAGTCTCCTGGCTTTAGATCTCTGTCCATTCCTGTGATTTGTCTCTACTGCAAACACCTGTGCGGTTTCGCGTGCGCCCGTGGGAACTCAGCTCGTGTGCATGTGAGTGTGTGTGCTTCCGGGTGTGTTTGGATGGATTTGTGTGTGTGAGCATGTGGGTACTTTGGGGTATTTTTGTGTGTCTCTGAATGTTTCCGAGTTAGGGTACGTCTCTGGGTGTGTACATGTGTGTCTAGGTACCTGTACGAGTGTGTGTGCGCGTGTGTGTGTAATCTTCTGTCTTTGGATGAGTGTGTGTGTGACTCTGAATGAGCACGTCTGTGTTAGGATGTGTCCCTGGCGTGTGTATGGGTGCGTGTGCACATACATGTGTGTCTGGGTGTGCGCGTGCTGGCTGTCAGCCCGTGCGGGCCCCTGGGAAGGCCACAGCACACAGCACAGTTATTCTGGCCCCTAGGACTGAACTACTTGGCCAAAACCCCTTTTATGGCCAAAGCGAGTCGCCCACGTGAGCTCCCCTTGGAGCTAGTTGTCAAGAAGGAAAAACGTCCTGATGCGGAAAATAATAAGGAGCAGGCCCGTGGACGCCCGCCGTCCTTCGCCTCGCGCGGGAGCTGGGCGCCGCTGGGCCCTGGGACCACACACTCCGGTTTCCTGAGCCGCCCGTCCCTGTGTAACCCGACGCCCCTTCTCTGATGTGTTCCAGACATTCCCGGGCCACCAGGCACAGCCGAAGTAACACACGCCCCTTTGTCTGGCCTCCGCTCCGGGAGCCCTTTCTTGGAAACGTGGTCGCTGTGGTGCTGAAAGCGAGGAGCCTGCCAGCCTGCTCTGGCGGAGAGAGGAAAATCCTCCCCGCCCAGGTGTTTCCTCCAAGACCCACGTGTCTCTGGCATGAAGGGGCCTGTGTGTCGTTTGTCCAGGCACGGGGGAACGTGTGTGCACCCCGGGAACCGGTGAGGCTCGGGCACCTGGGCACAGGCAGGGAAGCAGGGGTCCTGGGGTGGGGGTGGCAGGAGCCAAAGCCCAGCAGGACGATGCCCTTCCCTGGGTGTGGAGTCAGGGCGGGAAACCCCAGACTGAAGGGAGGGGCCGGTGTCCAGAGGTCTGCTGACCTGCAGTGACCAGCTCATCCATGCCTGTCAGGGAGCACGGGCAGCCCAGAGTCCCCGGAATCCCCTCGGTCCTGGGCAAACCCAAGCGGTGGTCGCTGTCACCCATCCCAGGTAGCACACGGGGCCGTGCTGAGGAGCCCCAGTGCTCAACTACCCTGCGGGGGGCTGGCTCCTGCCCAGGAGGGGATCCCAGACCCCCAGTGTGTTGTGGGAGTGACACAGAGGGCCTGGGGGTCTGGGGATTTGGGTGACCATCACAGGCTGGGCAGGGCTGGGTGTCGCCGGGTCTTTCTGGCCTGTGTCCACCTTCCCCGGCACCAAGAGCTCAGCGGAGACTTGTGCTGTTGACAGCGGCTGGTCATCTCACATTTGTGTCTGGGCCTACCTCCCCGAGGGGCAGAGCAAAATAGCTGAGCTGGGGCTGAGACAGTGGCTGGGGACCCACAGACATGGAATTTGAGCTCATTCCACTGCCGTTGGTGAGAGAGGCTCAGGGAAGCGCTGGCCCTAATGCAGACCAAGCACTTGTGATCCCAGAGCCAGGACTGGGTTCAAAATTACCACATTCTGTCGTCTGAGGAGGGAGGCAGGCAGCCTTTTGTGTTTTAGGGTGCAGGAGGAGAAACAGCCAGAGCAGTGAGGGGTCCCCCCAAACAGGCAGCCCATATCCCCAGGCTGGTGGAGGCAATCCCGTTTGTTAGCACTGACAGGGAGAGTTTATAAGGTGGACAAGGAGAGCTAAACCCAGGTGACAATATGGGCTGGGTGGGGGGAGGCAGGGGTGACATGGTGTGACTGGAGCCTGACCAAGCACTTCTGGGGTGACTGGAAGCTTTGGGGTGGCTGTGGGTGTGACCTCAGATACTCAAGTTTGAGGCTAAGCTTCAGTGGGGTGGGGAAGGTACGGTAATGCCTCCCCAAAGGACCAGCCCCCCAGCCTGCACCCCCAACATTTTATTTATTTACATTTATTTTCTTTTGTATTTCCTTTCCTTTTTTTTTTTTTTTTTGAGCCAGGGTCTCACTCTGTCACCCTGGGTAGAGTGCAGTGGCATCATCATAGGTCACTGCAACCTTAACTTCAACTCCTGGGCTTAAGCAATCCTCCTGCCTCAGCCTCCCGAGTAGCTGGGACTACAGGCATGCATCACAATACCCAGCTAACTTTTCTTTCTTTCTTTCTTTCTTTCTTTCTTTCTTTCTTTCTTTCTTTCTTTCTTTCTTTCTTTCTTTCTTTCTTTCTTTCTTTCTTCCTTTCTTCCTTTCTTCCTTTCTTCCTTTCTTCCTTTCTTCCTTTCTTCCTTTCTTCCTTTCTTCCTTTCTTCCTTTCTTCCTTTCCTTTCTTTCCTTTCTTTCCTTTCTTCCTTTCCTTTCTTTCCTTTCTTTCTTTCTTTTTATAGCAGAAACAGGGTCTTGCTCTTGCTTAGACTGGTATGGAACTTCTGAGCTCAAGTGATCCTCCCACCTCAGCCTTCCAGAGTGCTAGTATTACAAGTGTTAGCCACCGCGCCCGGCCACCCCCAACACTTTGTAGCAGGCTTCACTGCCCCTGCCGCCACAGCCCCGAAGCTGGTGGGAGATTGGGGTGCTCTCCAGGCCCAGGGCGCTGCTGCTCCTCCTACATGAGGGGTGGGATCTGGCCACGATGAGGGCCCAGGGCCTGCAAGAAAGACACACTGAGTCCCCTGAGCCCAGACACCGCCTCCAGGGGCGGCTCAGAGAGTCTGGGGGACCCGAGGGTGGACACAAAAGGAGGTTGCTGCATTTTCTTTGGCCTGCGGATGGATCTCTGAGGACGGTCGCTGCCCAGTGCCACAGGCCACCCCCAGGTGACTGAGGACTCCCTGTGGAGACGGGGCTCTTGGAGCTGCTGGGCAGCTGCCCACGGTGGCCTCTCCCTGTGCCTGGAGGGTCCCTCAGGGGTGGTTTGCAGGAAGGTCCAAGGGAGGGGAGCTGGGGGCAGTTGAGCAGCCTGCCCAGGTGGCTGGAGGCCAGAGAGGGGCCAGGAGGGAGGTCAGAGGCCAGGAAGAGTGCAGAGCAGAGAGGGAGCCCCTGGCGGGGAGGGCAGGGGAGGGTGGGGGATGTCCAGCCAGGCAGGGGCAGGGACTTCGGGGGCTGCAGGCAGCAGGCCTTGCAGGCTCCAAAGTGAGAGGGCAGCTGGCAGGAGGTGGGAGCTTGGCTGGGTGAGGTGGGACCGTGGTGATCCCCAAATTCCCCCTCCCAGAAGGTGGGGATGGAGGGCAGTGGGGGAGGGATGGGCTGGGGGTGCTGGGGGAGGTAGATCTGCTTTCTTTCATCATTGTCAATGAACAGAGTGAGAGTGTGGCGCTGGGTTTCTGAAACCTGAGTTCCGTCCTGCTTCGGCTCCCTTTCGGTTTGTCCTTGTGACCCCACGCACACAGAATTAGCGAGAGAGAGAAAGAGAGCGAGAGAGCCAATTGTGCCCATTATAGAGCTGTGCAAACGGAGGCCCCATTGGAGGCTGTCAGAGGCAGTGCTTGGGCCAGACTAGTTGTGCTTAGTTGCAGGAGGCAGGAGGTGATGTGCTCAGGGAGGGGGATGAGAGGCCTGGTTCAGGATGATGGCTGGAAAGTTTAAGAGATGGGGCCTCACGTAGGTGCAGCCGGGCAGCAGGAAGGGGCAGGCGGGGGCCAGATTGGTGGGGGCCCCCGCATGGAGCCTGTCTTTGTAATTACCGCCTTCTTTAGTTCTGGGCTTTAGGTGTATTGTTTAATCAAGAGGCCTCTGTACTTTTGTCTTATAAATATTCATAGCCATGTTCTTTTCATTTAGAAGAGGTGTAGATCCAATTTTTTAATAAACTCTGAAAACTTTTCCTTCCATAATAGCTTTCCCTTCATATAACATTATGTGCATTATGTAACAGAATTTAATGTACTTTTACAGAAATCTCTAATTTAAAAATTATATAATATGTAGATCAAGACTCCTGGTCACCTTAGGTTGCAGAACAAGTAACCCTCCAGTTTGTAACTTTCTACCTTCAAAACCAATACAGCAGGGGATGAGTTTTTGTTCTCGTGACATCCCCTGACATTTTCCCGCCCTCCCGACACCCCCATACACAGCAGGTGCTGGAGCAGGCCGGCAGGCCCCCAAGGGCAGGTGCGGTGGGGGGTGCAGGCGAGTTTCTCTAAGCTGCGGAGACACCTTTGCCGGTCGCTGGTCGGGTGCAACGACCAGCTGCTGCTCTGCAGGAGAAGGAGCCAGAGCTTCGTGCCTGAGAGCCCAGGTTTTTCCTTGGAGGTTGGAGGCCACGTAGTCTGTGGATGGTGGGGCGCTGGAGGAGGGCCCTTGAGGTATGGAGTGGCCTCACTCGGGGCCGAGGTTGGGGTGGGGCTGACCTAGCACCAGGAAAGGGGTGCTGGCGCCCCAAGACCACCATTTTGAGTGGCTCCCCCTGCTCTGTTGGAGTGTTTTCCGCTGGCTCAGTGGCCTGGCCAGGGGGAGGGGAGAAGGGGTAGGGACTGGCCCAGGCTGGGGGTGTCCCAGGCAGTGGGGGGCACCACTCACAGGGTGTGGAGGGAAGGCGGGGGAGGAGGGTCTTCATGGGCACAGGATCCCCACTGGGGTGGGGGCTCACGGGCAGGGTGAGAGTAGGAGAAGGTGGTACCTCAAGGCCAGAGTGCAGAGGGCGGCGTCCTCGTGGGCACAGAAAGTGGGAGCGTCTGCAGTCCACGGGCGAGGTTGTATCGCTGCTCAGCCCTCGCCAGGCTGGGGAGGGCTCGGTGGTGCAGGTATGTACCTGGCACCGGGCCTGGCGGGCACAAATTTGCCCTCAGGTGCCATCACCCGCATCCAAACCCAGCTTCGCTTCCCACTCCTGGTGCACATCTGGGCGTGTTGCTCAAGTTCTCTGTGCCTCGATTCCTGCCCTGCAAACTAGGCTGTCGATAGTGTGAACACCTCTAGGTTGTTTGGACAATGAACTGACTTTATTTGTAAAGTGCACAGCCCGCAGGCTGACCCTGAAGACACGCCGTGTAATCGTTGGAGGGTGTGTCGCCCAGGGCCTGTGTCGCGGTCATGAAGTCTCCTCGAAGGGCGGGGGTGACGCGGGGTGCAGGTGAAGGCTGAGCCAGGTGTTGGAGGGTGGTGTGCCCGGGGAGATATCCGAGGACATTAAGGAGCAGAGCTGGAGGGCTCCACATCTGGGGCACGAGGGTCTCGGGGCAGAGGGCTTTGCAGGAGAGTAGGGGGCATGTGCTGGCTGCTCCTCCCTGGGCAGTGCCAGGGCAGGCGGGGACCTCCTGGGACCCCTGGCCTGTCAGGTGCTTGCTGTTGGAGAAGAGTTTTTATCCTCCATCCATGATTTTTTAAAAAATCAAAATTAAATGAAAGAGCTCCAGGAAGGACATGAATGCCATAGTTGCTCTATCCAGAGGGGTGAAGATATGTTCATTACTAGAGTCCTGCAAGACAAGAACACCAGCATGCACCAGCACACCCAAATCAGCAATTTCCATGCAGCAAAACAAAGACAAAAATGTCTCCCTATGTAGGGGAGGGGTGGGAAGGGCTGGAGTAGGGAAAAATTGCTTGCAATAAGTAAGGATAGAAACTCAACAGCTAAAGTGCAAAAGAGAGCATCCCACCCCAACGGGTGCGTGGGTGAGGGAAACAGCACACTTTATGCAACAGGAAACACGAAGAGAAAATAAATATTTCAAAAGGGTCCACCATCTGCTCCCCTCCCACCACCACATCCCCAGGAAATAACCAAGTGGGCCTCGGTGGCTGTGACCTCTGGCGGTGTTAAGGAGGGGACAGAAGTGGCGTGGACACGGAGCCGAGGGGAGGCCAGCGGTGCACTCAGAGACGAGAAGAAGCCCCTCGTCCTTCGACCCCGACCCCTGGGGCCCAGGCAGCAGGAGGGCCGGAGGCTGCCCGGTGGGAGCGGGGGAAGGGCCGGGAGGCTGCCGCGATGATACAGCCCGGGACACGCCTGCTGGGGGCCAGATCGCAGAAGGGCCTGGAAGCACCAGGCCACGATGAGCCGGCGGTGCTGACGGGCAGCTGCTTAGTGCTCACGGACAGTCGGAGGCTCCACGCATGAGGAGAGCCGTGGGGCGGGTGGGCTTCCCTCCAGTGGTGGCCCTGTTATAGAAACCACAGAATTTTTTCCTCTCCTGGGTTCCACAGCAGGGGGAGCTTTGGGCGTCCGACTTTTCCAGAACCTTGTGGTCTTTAAAACCTTCACAGGGAAGGGCCCCCTCTGGATGCTGTGGACCTAGGGTGCCCAGACAACCATCAAGCTTGAAGACACCTTTGTCCGCCTCTGCACAGTCGGGGGCTGCAGGCCCCACCGGGACCGAGTACGGCGGCGGCTGGACGGCAGCAGGGAGAAGCTGGGGACTCTAAGGGAATCAGCCAGCACTGGGACCAGAGCAGAAGGCCAGCCCACACGCAGATGTCTGAGCGCCTAGAACTTTCCACCGTAACCTCACTGCTCCATTTCCAGTAAGGAGTAGAGGGGCATGTGGGGCGTGGGGGGGCCTGCGTTCCAGACGCCCCGCACCCGGCCTACTTCACTCCCTCCCGCCTGGACATTATGTCACATTGACCTTGATGCACTTCGGCCACCACACGCCCACTTTCAAGGAGGTTGGACATCTTTGGTCTCTACGTGTGATTGCTAAGGTCCAACTGTCTTTGTGGGTAACTAGGGGGCAGGGTGGGGACGGTCCTCAGGGACTTGGCCAAGGCTCCAGGGACAGGCCTCGCGAATGCTCCCAGCTGACCACCAGGAAACTGCAATGTGGCCAGACCTGCAGGTGGGAGAGGCAGCTGCTGCATGGGCATAGAGGGTGCTCGGCCACCTTCTCCTTGCCTTTCCTTCCTCAGTTTCCCCTGCCCTCCCCACTTCTTTTGAGACCTCCTCTTATTTTTGGGCCCCCACTTCCTTGGATCAGGAGGGTCTCCTTATAAATGTTGCTCCCTGTCCTTTCTTCAAGTAGACCCTGTAGGAAAGACAAAGACAGACACCATGTCAACAAGGGGTGGAGGCCCAGTCATGGATTGAGGCCCGGCACTGTGTGGGTGCACGTGCCCCTGTTGTCACGCTGAGTCCCTGACTCCTGAAAGCAACGTTTTTCAGACGGTGCTACTGTCTGTCTTGACCACCGCGGCCTGGTGCACGGTAGATGATCGACGAATGCTTGTTCACTGACTGAATGCGTGACTTGCAAACGGGGAGAGAGAGTTAGGCAACCAGCCTGCGTTCCCAGAGCCACTTTGTGGGGCAGCAGTGACTCAAGACCTACGGAGGGTCTTCGGAATCAGGCTGCCTCAGACGACCCCAGACCTTCTCTCAGACTCCCCCCCCCCCCGACAACTCTGTCCTGTCCTCATTCCTTTGGTTCCTGCTGGGGCCTCACCCCAACCTGACCCCTGCCGCCCGAGCACGGCCAGTGCCCCAGCTGCCCCATCCCACCGCCAACCCTAACGCCGATCCTGACATGGGTGAGAGCGAGAATATCACAGGTCTCTCTTCTATGGGACAGCCTCCTGTATGTCACTCCCGTTCAGGGTGTGTGTTTTCTGGGACCCTGGAGTGGCTGGGTCCCTGTTCCTGTGTGGCTGGCCTCCAGCCTCTGCTTTTGCCACCCCCCACACGCCCTGGCCCCCAGGGCCCTCCCAAACACCAAGCTCCCCCTGCCCGGGTCTGCACTTGGGAGGTTCTCTGTGTCCCAACATCTTCCTCCCTCACCTGTCCCTGAAGTTTCAGCTCCCGTCCCTGCACCTACTCCCTGCCCAGCTCCCGAGGGTGGGGTCGGGGGCTCTGCACAGCTCTGCCCCCTCTTGTCGCCCTGCAGGGCCCTGGTGGGCAAGTCTCCCCTCTGCAGGGAGGCGGTGCTCCACGAGGCAGGGCCGGGCCTCTGGTTATGAAGGAGCAGATCTAACCAGCGTCGGGAGAGGATGTGGCGAGTGCCCAGGTGGGGCAGCTCTTTGTCTAGAACCGCTTGTATCCGGCCCTAGGAGGACCTGGTTCCCGGGGCCCCGACGCTGCCCTGCCTGGTGAAGTCAAAGGTGCATGTTCCTCTGCCCCTTGCTCAGGGCTCCCTTCTGGAAGGCAGGCAGGGGCCTGCCCGGGCTCCAAGGCCTCTGATTTGTTCTGGATGGTGAGAGGTGGTCAGAACAGGGTGGCCAGTTCCAGGAGGTTGAAGGGAAACTTTCAGAGAAAGAAAGTTCTTGCTATTTATGACTCCCCGGGGCTGTGCCAGGGGGAGGGGCGAGCCCCTGCCTGGCCCAGCCCTTAGGAGCTCCACACTTGGAGCCTCTCTAGCCAGACACATGTCCCCAGCAAGAGGCCCCCATCTCTCCTCTGATGATGCCACTAGCTCGGCTCTTCCCGAAAGGGCGGAGGAAGGCGCCCTGCCCTGCGAACATCACACGCAGTGCTCTGACGTTTGTGTCAAAAGAGGGAGAAAGTGAGAGCCCGTATGTGCACACGCCGGGGCAGAAACTCCGGGACAAACACAGTAGCAGGATGGGCGGGAGCTGGATTCGAGGGCAGAGATATTTTATTATATGTCTACGTAAGTATTTAAACCACGTGTGTGTTTTCAAAAATGTAAATAACAAGTAACAGCAATACAATAGAAATACTCCCTTTTAGAAAGAAGGTAGCCAGACTGGGAAGCGGGTAAGGCTCCCTCCAAGGAGGGGTGAGTGAAGCCTTGTGCCCTGCAGACCACTCGGTGTGGACGACTCCCGGGGATCCCCAGGGACCCCCATGCCGCAGGCTCCGGGCCCCTGTGCGTCTGCTCCCTGCTGCTGTCCCGACGGGCTCCGGCCTCCGGCACCCAGGAGGCCCTGGCCACCCCGCCCCAGCCTCACCAGTGGCCGGCCTTGGGGGCCCTGCGGGGGCCTCTCTTGGGGGAGGACTGCCCCGTGCCCCGTCTAGGCACCCAGGCCAGCTTGGGGCTCTGCAGAAGAAGACTGGGCACCGCCCATGGCACAAGCCCAGCTGCGGTCAGAGTTGTGGACAGGGAGGGCTGGAGAGGCTGTCGCGGCTCCATGGACCTCTTCAGCGAACGACGGACGGGAGGCCAAGCTCTGAGGCCCAGGCGGCTTCCCCACAGTCACACACAGGCCGTTATTTATAGAGAAGACCCACATGCTGCATGAATCACTTAGACCCACTTCGAGTAGTTTCTATTCCTGCAGAAACCTGAAAGTCACAGCACGCATGGTATTTAGAAATGGTCGGTGCCTTGTCCCTCTGCTGGGGCCCCCGGCGCCTCCTGGGCACGGCAGCCGCACCTACCGGGCTGGTGTCCGCCCACACCCTCCGAACCGGCTGGAGTCTGTGAGGGTTCCTGGCCGAGAGCCACCCTCAGCTCTCCCAGCCCTGAAGACGAAGACGGAGGACTCAGGGAAATCCCTGCTGGCAGGGGCCTTGGAGTGTACTGGCTTAAGGCCGCCCCAAATCGCTGTGCAGGCCTGGGACAGAGAGGCCAGGGCTAGGGAGCCCCTGGGGTGCGGCGCAGCGGGCCACCCCCTGCCTCACACTCCAGCATCCCCGCAGACATACGTGCGGAGGCTGAGGCCACCCCCTGGCTGGGCCGTGAGCCCTTCTGGGCATGCAAGACCCAAATAAGAAGTCGTGCACCACACTCCTTTCTGTGGGCAGCAGCTCTGAATCCTAAAGCCCAGAAGTGCTGGAAGCCATCATGGCCTTTCTCGGCACTCGCTGTCCCTGCAAAGAGCGAGTGTGCGGGAGGCTTCCTGCTCTTTCAGAGGCTTCCCAAGACCTTGACCCAGCAGTGATTCTTGGCTGTTTGCTTTTGGTTTTGGCCCCCGGGTGAGTGCGCAGGTCCTCCGAGAGGGAACAGGGTGTAGACCGTCTTTCTGGAAGTGCGGTCCCCATGAGCGACACTCTAGTTCCACTTAGAGGGGAGGGACCCTCACCAGGCCCCGCTCTGGGCCACAGAGGAAGAGCCCTGGGCCAGGTGGGCTGATGCTGGAGCCACTTGAAAAGCATCTGGCCCCACCCCTCCATTTCACTGACGAGGAAGTTGAGACCCAGAGAGGGGAAGTGACTCTCCCCAGAGCAGGCTGGCGGCCAGGCCTGGAGGAGAAATGACATCTCACAGTTCACTCAGCTGCTCTGGACCACCAACAGGTAACAGCCTCTGGGCCATTTAGAGAAACTGAGGCACAGAGTCTCTAAGGTGACCTCGCTCTTGCGGACTGCAGGTGACTTTCCTGAGGTCAGCCGGGCTTTAGTGGGCCTGCCCTCTGTCCTCACCTGCCAGACTCAGCAGGCTGGCCCAGGTGGCAGGGCAGCGGCAACCCCCAGCAGCTGCTATGACAGCAGCAGCAGCCAGGCCTGGTTTGTCTCTGATTATGGGTAACATTTTTCTACGAACCTCAACTCTTTCCTGATCTGAGTCAGGGTTGCAGCATCTTGTTGGGGAGGGGAAACCTCACCGTAGGCAGCCCAGGAGGCTTCCCCAGAGGACTTGGCTTGCGTGCCACTGTCCTCCACTGGGCCCCCTGCCGATTCCCCGGAATCTTTTTGGGAAATCACCGGGTGCCCCAGATGACATACTCTCAGGAACTGTCCTGCAGCCCCTGAACAAAGCACTTGTGGCAAGCCAGGAATGTGGCTGGGAGCTTAGGCCAGCCACTTACCAGTGGTGTAATTTCCCTAGCCTCAGTTTACCTCTCCGGGGAATGGGACATTAATGGTTTCCTCCTCACTGGCCCTTCAGGGCAGTAAATGACGCAGAGTGCTTGCCCCCCTGGGAAGCTGTGACGCTGGCATCCTGGAACCCTGATCAAATGTCTCTTGGGGAGGCTGAGGGGGAGACAAGGCAGCATTTGGAGCCCTGAAAGTTCTGTGCTGCCCAAGGTGGTGGGGCTGAGGGGACAGGAAGGTCTGAGCGGTTGTCCCAGCGCCCAGGGAGCACCAGTCACTCAGGAGCTCAGCCGCCCAGGCTGTCCGCTCATTGGTTCCTCCAGTCCCTCTCTCCCAAGGGCAAGTTGCACGCGCGGCTTGGTGATATAAAGGTGAAGGGAACATGGTCCTTGTCCTGGGGTTGCCACAAGACAGCAGGGACTCACTCCCCTGTAGTACACAGATGAGTCCTAGCAGCTCCCGCCTGGCCACCGCCGGGGAGACCACACCAGCCGACGCAGGTGAATCAGGGAAGTGGCATTTGCTGGAAGGGTGCGATTGCAGCAGTAGAGGAAGAGTCTAAGGGGACCGAGGGGTTGGTAGGTGGAGCCAGGCACGGAAGGAGTGAGGGGGGCTTGGAAGCTCCTGAGTGTCAAGGTGCTCTTGCTGGCGATGCTGGTGGGGACCGGGAAGGGGGACAGATGAAGAGAGACTCAGGACGTGAGTTCCAGCTAGGTCCCTCCCTGCCTGTTTGACCTGGGGCAGACTCTTTAGTGTGTCCGAGCCTCACTGTCCTTATCTGTAAAATGGGCATAATTAGACCAACCTCCAGGTC